ATTCTAATTAACTTAGGCGATTAATAACGGCGATTGTAATTAGTAATAGATATTGTTACGCAAAAAGTTGTCGCGAATTGTTTGGGATGTTCGATAAAAATTAGCTTCGCAGCCTTGCCCATCGTCAAGGTCGGTCGTATGTGTGTCGATGTCCTTCGTAACCGATTGAGAACGGAAAGGGAAAGGATCGTGGAACGGGATAGAATGACGACTCAGATAACACACTGAATACTTTCACCACGCGAACGGTGGCAGAATCGTCAACGATAGGCAGCAATCGTAAAACAAGCGTTTTACGAGGCTCGACCGCAGAAGGGGAAACGCCGCTATAGCGTCAGACGTTGAGTGGGGCTCTCACGGTTTACGAGCGCATAACAGACGCGTTTACGGCCGCGATCACATAGCCCCGTGCATACCTACGGCTATATAACCGGGTCCCATAACCCAGTACGGAGTAAACAAATCGTAAAGCTCGGTTTCGGATTTACTGACCTGCCGCAATACACGGAAAGCGATACGGAGAGCCAGCCAGCCAGCCGGCAGTGATAACCAGCCACTTCCCCTCTTCGGTTCTCTGGCTGAGTAAGAGGGGAACTGTCATGCTGATGGCATGCGATCGAGATATCGCAACAAGCATGCGCGCAAAAGGGTTACGAGCCCGTAATTGTGACAAATGAAGTAGATAATAGCTCGAGATAAACTGTATTAGGACATTGACTGAAAAGACGGATTTGGTTCGCGCGCCAACTTGCGCCTTTGATACTTTCTATTAACGCTTTTGTGATAACGTGTACAAAGACATTTTACAAGCGATATTGTAATCATATTATCTTCTGCGTCATCTTATGTGTTGCTTGCTGGCACAAGACACTCTTCCATATTATATATTTAAAAATATTCTTAAAAAGTAGAGCTTAACAAATAAATCTTGCATATATATAATAAAACTATATAAATTAGATTACTTCTATCAATTTTACGCAACGAATATGTTCTTTTGATCAATGGACTATAATATGCGCGCGCATACGTACAGTCGGCATATATATGCCTTCATCTTTTCGGGTCCAAAACGCACCAGATCCAAATATTTATGCATTTGGCAAATTTAAAACTATGTTTTATTAATTGATTTAATAGTTTAATTTTATAATTACATTTTTGTGTTATTTTGTGCAATTATATAATCAGTATTCTTTATCTTTTAACATCATATTTAATCTTTTATATATACTTGTGTATTTCATATACATCTATAGCTTTCAATTTGTCAAACATAACTCTAAATACTTTTATACGGACAAAGTAAAAATATACGAACTATTCAACCCAAAAATTTATAACTTTGCGTAATGCCAATAGTTTGATTATTGTCTACGTTTGTCGTGAAATTTCTGTGGAGATAAAATAACAAAAGTTTTTATATTAAATTGCTGTGCATTTAAAAAAAGGAAAATCGTATTACACATTAAAATGCCATTCGTTGTTGCTATTTAACAGCATATATATTTTATCGCAACTTTATTAATGAAGAAACTTTATCATAAAGAATTTTTTTAGTGAAAAAAATACAAATATTTGCAATGTTGCAATGTTGTATTGTACTAAAAGAAATTTCAACTTCGTGAAGCGGAAACACGGCCGAAGCTTTTGCGTACCCGTACAGAGCCGCGGAGGTGATTTATTCGAGTTAATTCCAATTCCATTGGAGCCGCGGGGGCAGTCAGGGGGGGAGGGAGGAGCAGAGAGGAGGCAGCCTGTGGGGTGGAGGGTGGATATTCTTATGCAATTTGCCAGAAAGGTTCAAGAACCCGGGAGATCCCGCAATTTATCTTGCCTTATGTTACGCCGAGCCAAGGCAACGGAAGATAGATAGCGTCACTGCTTCCAACCCCCTCCTGCGCCCCGCACCGCACCACCACGGGTCAACCACCCAAACCCCGTACAGACCCCTGCGACCCTTCCCCCAGCCAATGAGGGACGACCGCGGTGGCCATCTTGGATGGAGAGTTATTGAACGAAAAAGATGAGTAAGAAACTTGTTATGGGGGTGCGTTCTCCGCGCCGTTGGGACTTGGACGAAAGAAGGCGGAGGAAGGGGGCAGACGGAGCTTGGAAGCTGCAGAGGGGTAGCTACAAGGGATTGTTGGCGCTATATTGATCAATTGCTTTACCGTGCTTCGCGCTACTTTCGTGATATAAAGTACAATACCCTTGGAGGCGCGCGCGATACCCGCTGCGAGGTTGAGTGCGACTAATTATATGACGATTATGCTTTTAGAAAATCACAATGTCTGATTTCTCGTTGTTATTGTTGCAGCTATATTCTACGGAAAATAAATAACAATATTAATTGTTGCGTTTAAAATATTACAATTGTTTTCGATATGTTTTTATTAGATCGTTTTTTTTCTACTACGTTTATTGCGTCTTCTATTGTGTTATTAATTTTAAACACGCGAATCTTTTACAAATAAAATTACGTGGTTGTTCGTTGTGTAAATATGCTGTTGAACGCGTAGTTTCCTTTCATTCAGTACTTTTTATCGGTGCGCGAGATCATGAGAACAATACACACGTCAATGGGCGTGTGGAAGGAGCCTCGGGGTATGGGTGGTCCGATGGTTGCATTTCACGAATGCTTCTCGCGTTCTCAGTTTATGGGCACGTGCGCGTGAGGTGTCGCGTAACTAAATTTCACCTTGAGGCTTCAACAAATCGCCTAAGCTGATCGGCTAACCGGGAGGTAGTTGCATTACTCCACGCATGCACGGCGACCAGTCGTGAACGATTTGACAATGCAGCAATTAAGCTGATAAGTTGTGACATGCATTGATAAATAACGTGTGCACACTCAACGTGTAAAAACATTAATATTTATAAACAGCATAAACTATTTAAGAATTTCACAAATCTTAATCAGATATTTAGCGCCATAATTTTCATACATTATACATGGAAATGTATAACTGTATGTATAAAAGATTCCGTTTTAATTAATCTATGCAAATAGTCGTTTATCAAAATTATGGTTTATCCAATTAAAATTATAA